GGAAACCACACAGAAGCCACAGCAAGACCAAGCCAGCCCACAGGGGCAGCTCCCAATGCCCGATGAGACCCATGGGAAACGGCCCCTACCTGAGAGCCCCCCAGCACAGGAAGAGGTGGCCCTGGCAGCTCCCCCTGGGAAGCCAGCCCCCCAGAGGCAGAGGCGAGGCAAGAAGGCTCGTCTGCTGGGCCCTGCAGTGACACTTGGAGGGCATGAGTTCAGCCGCCAGAGATTGCAGGCCTTTGGCCTCAACCCCAAACGGCTGCACTTCCGCCAGCTGAGCCGGCAGCGCAAGAAGCAGCGAGGGCCTAAGAGCCACCGTTGAGCTTGGCAAGGGCAGACCAGGGCCTGCCCCCCCAACCAGGCTCCTATGCTCCCATCCCTCCTGCCCATAGGGTCTGTCTGTGCACAAGCCACCCCATCCTACAGATGTGGAAACAGACGGACTTTCAAGTGTCCCCACCTGGAGACAACCTGCGGCCCATCAAACAGTCTGGCCACAGCCCACCATGTTCAAGTCAAATAGCTTTATTAACCCCAATGGTCACAGTGCCCCCTTAGCCCCCAGCTCTTGGCAGAATGGGGGCTTCAGGCCACGAGGGGTGCAGACGGTCCAGTGCAAACTATAGTACCTTGAGTCAGGCCCTGAGTGGGTATCCGGGAGCCTCCCTGTTCCCCTGAGGCGGGCTTGCACAGGTGGGGGTGGGCAGGCCTGTGGGCTCAGCCCCCTTGGCTGAACAGGCCCAGCCCAACCATTTCCTGGACTGGTCTCATCCCACCCCCTCCAACCAGAGTTCAAGCTCCCACACCCAGTGTGAAATAAATAAAAAAATAAAGTGTCGGTCTTCTCCCCCTATCCCTCCCCTTATAAAAACACAAAGTCCTCAGAGCTCGGCCGTTTGGCCTTGAGGCGCCCTGAGCGAGGGAGCCGTGGCGGTGGGTGGGGACAGAGGTCATCCAGGCTGTGGTCCTGAGCGTGGCCCTCAGCTAGGGTGAACATGGGGTATCTCTCTGTAGCCGAGGAGGAGCTGAGGACCTGTGGGACGGAGAAGGTGATGTGTCAGCCTCAATGATGGCTGTCTGTGCCCAGCAGCTGCCCCCCTCCTTCCCTTGGGCCCACCTTCTGGGCTGGGACGAGCATGTGATCCCAGCCAGCCGAAGACGGCTCCCCTGGGATTGTTGCCATCACTCACTGCCAGAGTAGATGCTGGCTTGCAGGGCCCACAGGGCAGGGTGGAACTGCCCCGTGGGTTTCCAAAACTAACTCTTTGCAGGAGTAGCAAGCCCTAACTTTCTCCTGCAGAGCCGCTGGCTTCAAACGGCTGACCGTGCAGATTGCAGCCACCATGTAAGCACCTGCCATAGCTGCCCGCTGGGCTGGGCTCCCTTTAGATTGGGCTAGAGGGAGAGCTGCTAGGGAGCAGCAGATGTTTCTGCCTAGACATTGAGGGGGTCCAGGGCCTGAGCCCCTAGATGCAGTGCCCCCCACCCCCTGCCATTGCAGGCCCCTTTGTGCTCCACAGCCGAGCAGAGTTGGTGTGCAGGAAGGACAGCCTGCTGGGCACCGGGCTGCCCCTGGGCATCAGAGGTGGGTGCTGGGTCACTCCCCTCCTCCTCACCCTGGTCAGCTCTGAGCAGAGCCTCTCAAACTCCTTCCTGTCTCCAGCATAAAACCCCACGGTACAGCTTGGGTCCATCTTGGCGAAGGCCATCTTGCGAGGTGAGGTGCAGTGGAAGGACTGGGATGGAGACGAGGGAGTCTCAGGACACCCTGGTCTCCCAGGCCCTCTGCATCCCATCCCAGTGCCCAGGATCCCACTCACCTCCAGGGGGAAGTCGGCATGCCTGACATCCACACTGGGCTGGCAGTAGTGAGGGTCCAGATAAAGTAGGAAGTCGTCTGCAGGGAGAAGGTGGTGTGGTGGGGGGTAGGGAGAAGGGTGATAGGGCAGGTGCCCTGGGAGCAGCAGGGGAAAGATGGGTGGGGTCTGGCCTACCCTGGTAGCCGATGAAGTACAGGGAGTGTCTTGGCTTGCCCCCCATGATGCCCAGGCACAGCTCCGAGCGCAGTAATTCCTGCAGAGAGCGGAGGGAGGGCCATCATCAGGCCATTGTCAACCAACACCGAGCGCCTGCTGGGTGTTAACCTTGCCCTGGGAGGCTGCCTTCCAAGATGGCCAGGATATCCCAGCAGAAGCCAAGGAAGAAGAGTCGGGCAGAGGCAGCCAACACTATGGAGAACCAGCCATGGGTCATTTAGAAGGGGGATGGAAGTGGGGGGTGGTGGTCATGGAAGGCCACAGTGAGGAGGTGCCCTTGGAGCAAAGGCCTGGAGGAGGGTAGGGGGAGCCCCAGGCATCTGGGAAGGAGTGCTCTGAGCACAAGCCAGTGCCAAGGCCCTGAGGCAGAAAGTGCGTGAGACCATCAGGGCTGGTGCAGAATGAGTGTGGGGGACCCCTGGGAACAGGGCAGGTGGGACAGGAATTGGTGAACTTCAGGGAGATGTCTGATGTCTGGCTTTTATTTGGAATGCAAACACTCGGGGGTCCTACCAGCTCCAGAGCCCCACCCTGGCTGTCCCCTCCTGCCCTTGAGGGCCCATTTGGGGGTGGGTGTGGGGGTGGGGGTTTCAGGCTGCTGGTTTGCAGCTCTGTCATTCCCATTAGGACGCTTGTCCTCAGCGCAAGGAGATTTTTGTCTGGGTCAGTTCCTGGCTCTCCCCAGAACTCAGGAAGGGTGGGATGTGTGAACACAGTGTGGGGGAGGGGGCGGGGGGGGTGGCGGGAGGCAGCAGCTCCACTGGATTCACAGGTGCTGGGCTAAAGGATGAACCCCAGAGCCCTAACCCGAGTTGGAAATGCCCAGAAGGCTGGGGGAGTGCGGGTGGGGGGAACCTAGCAGCACCTACCTTCACACAGGGCACGTATACGGGGTTGAGGGTCTCGCCACCCAGCCGCACGGGCACCAGGATGACCACAGACTTCCACTCAGCTGTGGGGTCCGGCTTGGCGACCAGGCGTGCCACATCCCCCTTGTACACTGCAAGGATGGGGAGCAGGTCACGTTCGTGCCCCTCCTTGAGCCCCGGGGGCCTGCCCTCTCCCACACAGGCAACACGGCTGCTGCTGTCAGTGGGAAAGGCCTCCTTCCTGAGACCCGAGGAAACCCTGCAGCTCCAGGCAGCTGCGGCGGCCTCCTCTGCAGGCAGGGCAACCAGGCCCCCAAACGGAGGCCAAGAGCAAAAGGCAGGATGAGGCCGAGGCCTTTGCCCACGATTCCGGAGCCTCAGCACCTTGCTTTGCCCATGTGGAAATGGGCAGACGGAGTCACCTACCCCAAAGAAACACTCTCGTGTGTGTGTGTGTGTGTGTGTGTGTGTGTGTGTGTGTGTGTGTGTCCCCAACCCCTCAAGCCCTACTCCCCATACCCACAATTCTGCCTGAAAACTGACAGGCTTTGGGGAGTTCCTAAAAATTCTTAAGCCACTGCTGACGAGTCCACTCCAACTGACAGGGACCCACTGGGCCAGGACAACTGCCCCACCGGGTCTCCAAGGCTGTTTTCCTGGGAGCAGACCGCCACATCCATCTCCCCTGAGTGGCTAACTGCTGAGCGCTTAACCACTGGGCCACCAGGCCTCCCTGGGGTGGGGTGAACCCAAACCCTCTGCCGTCTGGTCAGTTCCGATGTGCAGAGACCCCTGTAATCTTTACAGGAGCAGATGGCCTCACCCTTCCCCCTCCGAGTGGTGGCTAGGTTTGAATTGCTGCCTTTGTAGTTGGCAGCCCAGTGCCTAACCCACTGTGCCACTGGGAGTTAACAGCCACCCCCCTACACGTTCCTGATGGACACCAAGCCAGGGGGAAGTGCATGTTGGAACGGCTGGCAGAGAATGTCGTGGGCCCTGGAGAAAAAAGTCCTTCTGCCGCCTGTCACTCGTGGAGAAGCCCCACAAGTTTCCGCTTCTGGTTCTGCAGGGGGAGAGCCCCTCAGCACCCACCATGGAGCGCCCACGAATCCTTTCTGTGCCATCTGCCCCAGAACACGTGTCAGCCTGTGAGGCAGTGACTGGGTCAGCAGAAGTGCCCCAGACCCTGGTCCCCAGTCCCTTACCTGTGCAGTCCTGAGACACGTACACCGCCAGGTGGGGGGCCTCTAGACAGCTCTCCACGGCTCTCCTGGGGGCGGAAGGGGAGGCCTGAGTGCCTGGGGCTCTGACGCCATTCCCGGGCACCCTGCAGCGGCCCTCACCTGAGGATGTGGGCGACCAGCGACGGCCCATACCAGTCACCCGCCTTCTTGCCTGAACTCTGCCCCAGCTCCACCAGCCGGTGCAGACCAAAGGGCGCTCGAGGGTGGTCAGCAAACCAGGACACAATTTGCCGGTGCCGGTGCTCCTGCTCCAGCTCTAGGGTGCCCTGGGCCCAGCGTGGGGGTGCCCAGCGGGCTGGGCCCTGGTGCCGGCAGGGAGAGGCCGAGTCTGACAGCTCCAGGGGCCCCAGGCCCAGGCCCTTAGCCCAGGTCCAGTCTAGTGGGAGTAACGAAATCGTCACACAAGGCTACTGAGGCATAGTTCCCCCTGCTCCGGCTGCCTCACCTACATTCTAACACCCCTAGGTCCCCACGCTGAGTGACAATTCCCACATTCCGGATAAGGACCTGATAAACCACCCTCACTCTCTCCACACTGCAGGCTGCGCACAGTCCTAGCAGGACACCGTGACATGTGTCCTTGGCGCCCACTCCGGCCCCTGGCATCACTCACCTCGGGGCAGGAAATGCAGCAGCAGGCCCTGGGCCAGCAGCATCTGCCCACTGCGCAGCATGCAGCCCCAGCCGCAGTCCGAGGTCAGGCAGCCCCCAGCGAGTGGCGGGAAGTCCCGGCGGTAAGTGAGCCACAGGCGGGACACGAAGTCCCTCTGGAAACGCTGGATGTCCCCTAGGAGAGGTTCCCTGTCAGCCACAGACAGCCCAGGATGACCCTGTAGGCCTCCCCCCACGATAACTCGGGTCCACCAGCTCACCCTCGCCCTCGAAGCAATAGCAGCGGCCACAGAGGTAGATGCTGGAGATCTTGCTGAAGCTTGTCCGGCTTTTGAAGGCCCAGCCTGCTGAGCCATGAGACGTCAGTGCCCAGTGAGGTCGTGTGCGTTTGCCCGACAGACACCTCAGATATGATGGCCACAGTGTGGCCATCTGGGATCCGGGGCCATCCTCATCCCCTTTCCTAGCTCCCATCGCCCCAGTGGCTCTGGGCAAAGGCCTACCCCCTGGTCACAGCCATGTATTTAAACCAGACTCCCTGCCATGGGGTCAATTCCAACTCCTAGCTATTCTGCAGGGCAGAGCAGAACTGCCTCTGTGGGCTTCCAAGACTGCAACTGTTCAGGAGTAGAACGCATCATCTTTCTCCTGCGGGGCAGCTGGGAGATTCGAACTGCTGACCTTGCGGTGAGCAGCCCGATGCATAAACCACTAGGCCAGCAGTTCTCAACCTTCCCCGTGCCGAGACCCTTTCATACAGTTCCTCATGTGGCAGTGACCCCCCCCAACCGTAAAATTATTTTTGTTGTGACTTCATCACTGTCACTTTGCTACTGTTATGAATCAGGCGACCCCCAAAGTGGTCTTGATCCACCAGTTGAGAACCGCTGTGCTGGGCCATCAGGCCTTCTAACAGCCACAGAGCAACCCTGCAGGGAAGGCTGGAACTGCCCCTGTGGGTTACTGAGTGGGTAACTCCAGCCCAGCGGTTCTCAACCTGTGGGTCTCGACCCCTTTGGGGGTCTCATGATCCTTTCACAGGGGTCGCCCGATTCATAACAGTAGCAAAATGCCAGTGATGAAGTTGCAATGAAAATAATTTCATGGTTGAGTGGGGGCCGGTTACCACCACACGAGGAATGGTATGAAAGACTCGCGGCGTGAGGAGGGTTGAGAACCACTGCTATAGCAGAATCGATAGCCTCATCTTTCTTCCACGGAGCAGCTGGTGATTTCGAACTGCCGACCTCCTGTGTGGCTAGCCAATGTGTAGCCACAAAAATAATTTTATGGTTGGGGGTCACCACAACATGAGGAACTGTATTAAAGGGTCATGGCATTAGGAGGGTTGAGAACCACTGCTATAGCAGAATAGATAGCCTCATCTTTCTTCCACGGAGCAGCTGGTGATTTCGAACTGCCGACCTCCTGTGTGGCTAGCCAATGTGTAGCCACTCCACCATCAGGGCTCCTAACAGGCCCAGAAGTGCCCGTTATGAATCCTGGCTGCATTAAAAGGCTGTTTTTAATTGCATTCATTTTACAGAGGGCTGCAGGGGAGCCACAGGGAAGCAAAGGCGCTTGACTAAGGTCACCAGGGGAGGGGAGTTAGAGGAGACTTGAAAAGGCATTCCCTGCTCCCAAGACAGGTCCGCCCGGGACTGGGAAGGGCGGGGTACCCACAGGTGACTCATGTTAGGAAAACTGGGGTGCTAGCAGTCGGCTTCTCCTGGACCCCCACCTCCTCCTCCTCCAGGGAGCCCGGGCCTCTCGCGCCCCTGGGGTCTCGCGCCTCCTCACCGTACTTGACGTTGTTCCAGGCCGTCAGGAACTTCGCCTTGAACTTGTCCACCTCGTCTGGCTCCCACGGGGCGGTCCTGAGCGGTCCCAGCGCGGGG